TTTTAAATACATTTCTTTTGGTTTCCAATCACCAGTTACTATTAATCACGAAAACAACAGAAACACATGTTACTGGCTGAAGAGGGAACACACAGTGAATGATGTGTCACCAAAATAACATTGGTTGTATGCATTCCAGCAAAAAGTGTTCTCATACTTTTTAAAAGGAAAGTGCAAGAGTTAGCTCCCTGTTTAAAGAGCAAGGGAACATAGGGTGCCTGATTCTCTAAAAGGGATAATACTGCGGAAGGAATCCCTATTAAGCTAAATGGCAACCCCAAACTTATTGACACCAGACAAACATTGCCTACCCCACATAGAAGGATAACGTGAAAATAAATGATAATTGTCTTCTCCCAAACACAAGAGATTCAAAAACAACCAAACAAAGAATCCCTGTTCACTTATGAATAGAAAAAGCTACAAAACTGATCCTCATGAATTCCTTAACAAGCAACTTCTCCTTTGTAAGAAGAATGACACTGTAGGTGGATTTCAGCTGAGTATTAGAAAACAACTCTAAATAGCAACAGTTGTTTGGACACATAACCAATTATCTAGCAGCTGGCTGGGCTCCCCCTCACTAGAAGGTCTTGAGGCAAAGACTGGTCTGACACCTTTGGGAAATACTCTAGTTCTGGATTTCCTGCACTGAATAGGGTGTTTATCTAGATAGCCTGCAAGGCACCTCACAACTCTCTGATTATACGACTCTTTGCCCTGGGAAAAATCATTAGTCAAAACAAAGTTGGCAATCTTTATATAGCAGCACCTGTAGCAAGTATGCCAACCTCATGTGTTTTTCACAGTATTAAGTGCCAACTGGTGACACAGAAAAGGGTCTTTTCCATGACTTGACCAATCTCATTTTTACTACGTTTCCTGGAACACGCGGTGCAGAGGCGAAAAGGTCCTCTCCTGGGAGATGGCTTTTCTTTAGGAGGCATAGACTAAGAGGAACGAGGAATAACTGACCGTAGTAGAGGATCCGATCGACGGAGAGGAGAACCGCGTCGAAAGGAACGAGGAAGGAAGTCCAATCAGAGATAATTGAAGGGATCCTGAAGGCGCGTGGCGCCTCAGCGGGAGGCCCGTTAAGGCCTATTAGGCCCCAGCGGGAGGCCGCCTGAATCAATCAGGGCCGGAGACAGTCAAAGTTCACCGAAAAATCACCAGAGGCAAAAGAGTCTGTCAAAAGCATTCCATAGGTCAGGGTAGCCAAAGAAAATGAAGTAGAAAAACAGTTCGCTAGAGTCAAGGGAAACTTTTACCTTTACCTTTAAAGGCCCCAGAAGTCCTCAGGGGCCTTAAAACCTTGTAAAATTGCTTCCATGCCTCATAGAGGCACAACAGGACTTTCAGAGCCAATTATATTTTTTCCAAATGTTGCCCACCATTGCCATTGATCAAAGAGGAAAAGAAAAATATAGTGGTGAAGCTGTTCTTCAGATTTGCAAGGCCCAGGCTTTTGTGAGCTGAAAAGGCAAGAACTAGCAACCAGGCTGTAAGATACAGATTGAAATCAGTAACTGCATCAATCACACTGATTTGAATGGGGTTATTCATCAACATGCTTGTAGAAAATATTTTGAACTTTGAACTGGCACTTTAAGTAACCAGGCTAGGTTCAAAACTTAGATGCAAAAGTTACCCTTTTGGATGGTAACTCCCAGAATTCCTCAGATTTAAGAAATCGCTAATTCAAGAAATTCTACCCTATTCCATACCTTTGGATTGGGATGGCGACTAATGATCAGACTAATTGGGCCTGCACCACGTTCACTCAAGATGGCATAAGCTTCACTCAGGGCTGCATGACGCAAATTGACCGAATCTGCCTCAAGGATCTGGTCACCACGGCTAAGGAAACAGAGACAAACTGTTTAACATGCCTGTTGTATACTGAGCTAACATTTCAGATTAGGATTTCTACAGGGTAGGAAAATATAGTACAACAAAGCAGAGAAGTTACTGCTTTGTTCTACAGCAGATGTAAGGTCTACACAGTACAGACACTCTTCTTGAATGCTGCGATCGTGCAATTTTAAGCACATTTTGGCACTTTCTGGTCCAAGATTTAGCCGAAGAAAACAATCAGTTAGGTGACTGATACCATTTCTGTTCCACTTACGAACAAATACAAAACTCCATCCAATTCTTTTCTACATTGTCATGTTTTGTTTTTAAAATCCAAACACAAATTACATTCCTAAAAGGTGAATTAGATGAGTTTGGCTCCCAAATGTGGCCCAAACAAAATTCTTGAGCAACCCCACAAACTGATCCCTGCATGCAGTGCCTTGACCTGCTAATGTCGGTGGTTTTAGACAGAAATCGGAGATAGAGGAGTACTGGAAAACGAACAGATATCGAAATAGTGAAGATAATGACAAAGCAGACAGGGACTCAGAGAAGCCTGTTCAGAATTAACACAGGGGAAAAGGGTCAAGCATGTGCACTAGATATGGAAAAGGTTCCTCCTTATTTAACACGTGTCTTCTCAATGAGAAAAGTGAGCATCTCTATCTTCCCACATGGCTCCTTCCTATCAAATTTGCCATGCATCTTTAAGAATCAGCAGATGATAATTCAAGACAGGAGGGGTCACAACAAAGAAAGGAGAGTTGCAATGAGAATTTCTGCGTTTCACACCCATTCCCAGAGCCCCTTACAGTTTGAGTCCATCTGGAATTGTACTCTTTTGCCTTCACTACCACCGCTCCCCCAGCCATTTGGAAGCCTTTCCTGTCCCTCTTTCTTGTCCTCTCAAGGATTGCTATTAGGCTGCACATATACATATTCTACACACAATAGTTTGGCTCATCATGGCAATGCAATGCATTAGAACTCTCATTTTGTACACGTTTGTATCTCTCTATGTAGCTTAACAGAGGTCCTACTGTGACGTTCTTCCCACCATTTTTACATATGTTTAGAAAACAAAAATTGAACATGGCAGAGGGGGGGCAGGGAGACCTCTTTGAGGTACTTTGGGGCTTGTGATGTCAAAACAGAGAACAATTTTTGTTCAGCTGTGTAGACACACTGCACTGAAGAAGGATACAGACAGATACAGACAGTATACTAGGAGAGGAAAAAGGAACCTATAACAGTGTTATGTACACATTTCCGGACCAACCTTAACCTGCCGTCCATCTTGGCTACAGATCCTGGTGCCAGGCTGTGAATATATATCCCTGGAAGGCTGTTCTCCAGGGCAAGATGGCAAACACCAATACCCAGACCAACTCCTGGCTCTGTGAGGACGTGAAGAGCAAAGACAGGAAACCGTTTAATCCACGCTTCATTCCAATAATGGCAAGAAGCACAAGTACTTATCAAGGGTTGTTTTCTATGAGCAGCTGAGAAAAAAGAAAAACTAAACCCTTGACAGGATTCAAACTAAACATGGGTTTTGAATTTGACTGGCAAACTAGGGCTATAACAGGGGGATTCAATTTATGAACCACTTGTCTTGTCAGAGGAGACAACTTAAATGGAAAAAAACAGAGAATCCAACAAGCCAGACATAATATTTTTCTGCTCACCCGCCTCACTGCTGAAGCTTCTGGGTGATGACTGCTAGAGGGTCTAAGCAACTAGGCAACTCTGCTCCATTATCTCTTCCTGGAGGCTGGTTGCTGTTGTCTCTCCCCCCACCCTTCCTTAACCTGGCTTTGCCTCTTTTTGACTCAGCAGAATGAGCCCTGATGCTCCTGGAGCAAAGAATTGGAAATATTAGTCCATAGTCATGTCTACAAACAGACATATTCTTAAATATGTGTTGCGTAGTTACTTGTTATACATATGTAACTCCACTCATTTATTTATTTTTTCTTAAGGAGGAAAAAAGACTTTCATCTTTCCTCTATAGAATCTTCTAAAATCTTGTCATGAAATTTTATGACTTTTCCTACCATGTTTCCTTGAATCTACACAAGGAGCTTTTTGGGGAATGGTTATCCTAGCAAGGTGAAAAGTAGCTGAATTTTCTCAAACCTTTATTGAGTGTCACTTCCATGACAATTCTGTCCTTTGGTCCAGGCCCCTTTCTACTGGAGGCAGGACCATCTCCATCTTCACCACCAGGTAAAGGAGCTCCTCCACTGGGAGTAGATGTTGGGGAAGTGGATCGGTTCAGCAACATAGATGCTGGGCACGGGGTAAGGCTTGGGCTTCGGAGTTTGGTCCGTACTGTGAGGGTGACCACCCCTTTCTTGAGTTGCTAAAGAAGCAACAGCAGTTTGTTATGTTTATGAATCCTCTTCTCCTAATAACATTTCTCACAACACTAAAAATACATTCAAATACATTGTTTAAATGGATGAGTAACTATTATTAGCTGTGGCAAGGGAACAAGGTTTCTTATTTAAACACAGCTGCCTTGCAGTGGAAAAAATAAGTCATGCATAAGGATGATCACATAAATCAAACTACAATTATGATTTCACTACCCTAGGGCATATCTACCAAAAACATGGAAACTCATGAAAGGATTTTACAGCTGATCGAGCTGATTCATCTTGCTTACTAACAGCCTTGTCCTAAAGGAGGTGGTGGTGCTTCTCTCATTGTTCAAAAGTGAAGCCAACTGAGCATCTATATCAGGGGTCTCCAAACTTTTAAGCGGAAGGGCCATATCATATATGCTCCACAGTTTTGAGGTCTGAAGGAAGACATGTGTGCACGTGCACTCCTGCCCGCTAGCACTCCTGCCCACCCATCCACCCATCCGCACTCTGGCACGCCTGCCCACTCATAAGCAGGCCCACCTGCCTGCCCACACTCCCGCCCACCCTGTATTCCTGCCCACCCACATGTGCACACCTGCCCACCCACCAGGCCAGATAAAAAGGCAAAGTGGGCCAGAAGTGGCCCACAGGCCATAGCTTGCAGACCTCTGATCTATATGATGCCATTATAAAGCTGTAGAATGCAAAATGAATGATTCTGATTTCACAAATTGATGACAATTTGGAACATATACAACAAGTCACAGTGGTCATGAGGCAGTTATAATTGTATATGAGCTTGTATTGAGTTCTCTCTAGAACCATGGGAAGTCCTGTCTACAAATGCTCGTACTTTAAATGTTTGAATGGCCTCCTGATGGGTCAGCCCTTGCAGAGATTCTCCGTTAACCTCCAGGAGCTCATCACCTGGAAAATAAAGACATCATTCACATCAGCACTAGGACAGGGGACAAAGTGTTGTTCTTAGAAATATCAAGAACCCGAGGAGTTCTCAAATTCCTGATTTATTACTCTATCAGATTTATAGCTCTTATTATGCTCCCTTACTCCGTATTTGTTAGGAAAGTAAGCTTAAGTCAAAAGTGTGATTTTTAATCTGGGTTTCTGAAACGTCTTCTCCAACACAGTATTCTGCTACTGAGATTGGCTGTGAATGATGAGAGTCATAGTTCAATACAACCAAAGGGCACCAGGTTGGGGAAGCTTTTAATAGATCATATACAACTAAACAAGTACTCAACAAAATGGTTCAAAATTTGAAAGGCATCATAGAAAAAGTCAAAAGTGTGACTTCTAATATGAGTTCCTAATTTAGATTACTATAAGCATATGCAAGGTCAGCATCTGAACATTTCACAATTATGATTATGTTTGTGAGTTATTTCCTGTACCACTTCCTGTTATACACTGAAGCAATGTGCAACACATTTTAAAGGAACGCAATGTTCATTCTTTGCTGTTTATTAAAAGTGCATCTTATTTTCTACATAGAAATGCTTCAGGTGTAGGAAAAGGTTAATTTAGCAAGCATCCTTGATGTTTATGACCACAGACTACAACTCCCAGAATACCTCATCCAGCATAGCCAGTATGGATGCTGGCTAGTATAGTAAAAATAAATAAATAAATAAATAAATAAATAAATAAATAAATAAATAAATAAACAAACAAACAAACAAACAAACAAACAAACAAACAAACATCTACTCTGAAACAACCTGATAATACAGGAAGATAAGCAGTTTAGCTTATGCACATCCTTGATCCTATTGGCTTTCTCAATATGTCTGAAAACTAGTTATTTTACCTCACACTCAAATTACTTCACAAAAGTCCCACTTCAGAAGTTTCTCCCTCATCCTTCCTTCACTCCAGAAAGACAGCAGGGGAAGAAGAAGAAAAAAGGCCTTATCCCATTGTGGTCCCACTAGACCAGCTTTGCACAACTCAACGCCTGCCACCATGATCTTTCCTTTACTTCTAGACAAGATTTTGCCACAGCTTTCCTCCTTCCCGGTGACAGGCTTGCAGAATGGTGATCTTTGTTATACCTTCTTTTAATCTGCCATCAGCTGCTGCAGCTCCGTTAGGAAAAATGGTCTTCACAAAAATGCCCATACGCCCTCGGGCAGAATCTTGCCCTCCTACAATGCTGAATCCGAGGCCCTGTAGCATATGCAGAGAAAGGCAAAAGGAGCGACAAATGAGATGAATAGGTTACAATTGTGCCACTTCTCCTTCGTGAGGGGTCATCACATGAACACTGAAGCTACTCCAGGGGCAGTGAAACCATTTTAACACCCATTTGTTCAATGCCAGAGTGTGGTCGCTTTAAGGCAATCAGGATGGTGAAGAACCTTTCCGCTCACAGGCTCTGTGTGTGGAATCTGCTGCACCTGCACGCCCCCCCCCCACTTTGCCACTAATTAAAGCTAAAGGGTTTGGACTCCCAGAGAAGGAAGCAAGGTACATGACAGCCAGGTAAAAGGAGATGTGAGAAAGGAGGATATACTTTTCCAGAGGAGACACAAACTTCAAAGTTAGAGTGCTACATGATTCTCCTCCAGCACAGTCCCCCACCCCACCCCCCTTGTCATTTTTTTTGGCATTCAGAATTGATCTTTCAGGAATTCTATCATTTATGGGTTTTTTTGTTGTTGTTTTTTTTTATTATATAAATCCAACCATATTGATTTAACATCGTGTCACCAGGGTACAGCTTATAATCATTTGTAAAACAACTGCTACACACATTATGGGTTTTTTGTTGAATTAAACTTTTTTGTTTCTGCTCTCCCCAAGTATCCCCCCCCCAGGTTCTAGTTTCATTTCTATCTAATAAAAATGATTTTGAAAAAAGGAGAGTTCAATTTGGCAGCCATTTTGTGGCCCTTGGAAAGAACCTAATCTGGCAGCCATTTTGTGGCCCTCCAAAGTGCCAAGTGTTCCAACGTCCAGACACCATGTTTCTGTTGATTTTCTGTGGACATATCCACAGCGCTAAGTGAGGTCTATCTAAGCTGCCATGATGATCCATTTAGCCTATGGGGGAGCAAAGTAAGGTCTGCAGGCCACAGGCAGCCCCCTAAAGAATTTCATGCCACCAAGGCTATCTGGGCTGTTAGTGGTATGAGAGAGTGCAACTCCCTTTCCAAACAGGTTGAACAACCACACAGTCTTTTGTTTTAATCAAGATAGCAATTGTCATTCTCATATTGCTTTTCTATATCAAACTTTTTTAAAATTCTATACTAAAGGTGAGCAAAGTGTAGCCCTTCAGATGCTGTAGGACCGCAAATCCAACATTCCTCATGGAGGACTCTGATGGGAGTTGCAGTCCAAGAACGTCTAGAAAGCCATACTTTGTCTATCCCTCTTGTAGAAATCCACGCTTCCCTTGATATCAGGGACAACCCCAATGCAGCCTGTTCACTGCACTGGGCCATTTTTGTGTTCTCTAAGAGCCTGTGTTTAGAAAAAAGAAGTAGTTTGGGGCAGTCAGTTTCTCCTGGAACTCTCCAGGATAAGTATTCCCGTCTAGAAAGCCATACTTTGTCTATCCCTCTTGTAGAAATCCACGCTTCCCTTGATATCAGGGACAACCCCAATGCAGCCTGTTCACTGCACTGGGCCATTTTTGTGTTCTCTAAGAGCCTGTGTTTAGAAAAAAGAAGAAGTAGTTTGGGGCTGTCAGTTTCTCCTGGAACTCTCCAGGATAAGTATTCCTTACATCGTGGGACTTCAGAGAAGTTCTCTAAAGGCCCACCAAATAAAAAAACAAACGAACCAGAAATGCTCCTCTGGGTGTTTGCTTCTTTTACAACTTAAAAATGTCCGAAATCAGACACTTCCAGTTTCTTGCAGTCCATGGAGAAGACTACGGGTCTAACCAAGCCTCTTGAGATTCCTCAGACTGCTTTACATGCCTGTGCACGCATACAAACAAACAATATGCTCTTATGTACAGATTCTTACCTTGCCCTGCCCCTTCATCAGGACAATGTTGGAAATGATAGATGGCTGGGTGAGTCGCCATGGGTATTCCACCTGAGCTGCACTTAAGGAACGGGTTGATTTCTTAACAATGTGGTATTCCTAGACAAATAAAGCAATCCTAACTATTAGAGATGAGCCAAACTAATCTTGTTTTATTTTTCTCTTCAAAAATGCATCTTGAGTATGTTTTCTGTTCCATTTCTCAAACAACTACCAATTTCATATGGCTTTACCTTTCGTTAATTTAAAATATCCTGCAATAAAACGAATAGTTAAAACATCAAACTAGAAATAAAAAAACCTAAAAACAAAACAAACCCCCCCAAAAAACCAAACGGAAACAAAACAGAATAATTAAATAAGCAGAGCAGCCCAAGCAGAATCAAAATAGCAACGATCAATAAAAGGGGAGAAAGGTGAGTTGCTATCAAACCATTAGACAATCAAGTTCAAAAAATCAGCTAATTGTTAAGGTATTTTTGGAAAAGCTAGGCTTTTATCTGACATTTGAAGGTGTGCAGTGGGCACAAGGTTGGGTGATTAATATTTTCCTTTATTTCTTTCCAGAGGAGTAGCAGCATTAGTCCGTTGCAGTTAAAATAATAAAAGTTTTGTGCCATCCTTGACATATGGGGCTAAATCCAGCTCTTAGTCCCAACTAAACTAGGCTTGTTAAATGAAAAGGACTTGTAAAGTCTCCATTTATTTAAATCCCAATGAATCAGTAGGTCTGCTTTGGATCCAGCCCTAAGAAATTGCTTGTCTTTGAAGTAACATAAAGCTTTTCTATGTTTTGCTTCTTTTGTGTTCTGTCATAGACAAGGGACCAAATAAAATAGAAACAGTAATGGATTATACACTACCACTCACAATGAAATGTTGTTGTGTTTGTGGAGAAGGCTTTGAAGCGGTCCCTTTTCATAAAGGTCTACAGCTACATAAATATATCCAAGTCTGCCCACCTCACCAAAGGAGAATTTCTAGAAGTATGCAGCTGAGGTATTGTACAGAACAATTCTAATAGTTTTCATTTTTATCAGGAATGGGTCTTCTATAAAGGTCTCGGGTCTTAATCAGAGATGGGGACTCATGAGTCACGAGTCAACTCACTGTCAGGTCTGACTTACGTCACACTGGTGACAACTTGGACTCAACTTAAGGGTTTTGGTACTCGCAACCCATTTGTTCAAGTCATCCTGTCAAGTCCCTATGGGCCTCCCTACCTGGAGGTGCCCCTCTTGCTGAACGCCACCACCATCTTAGAGGCAGTACTTGCCACCCAGCTGATAGGCCAGCGCATGCACAGAGGCAGGGAGGTTGGAACTCCTGCCTCTGAGGATGATGGTGGGGTAGTCGTGGCAGGTAGATAGGCCCACTGTCTCTGCAACTGTCCAAGATCCCAAGCCTTGGGGCTGGGGCAAACAACTCAAGACTCAGACTCGAGCTTGAGACTTGGCCTGAAGACTTGCTGACATCCCTGGTCTTAACTGCTTATTCATTGCTGAGCAGCTCCAACAAGTTTCGCATTCTATCACGGGTAGCTCACAACAATAAACTGCTGAAAGGAGAAATCACTTTCCCCAATTATGTTCAGAGGGCACAGTGTGGATGATGTCATTTTCTCTGTTAATGGTGAAAAAAAAAAACACTAGTTCCACAGTTGCAATGAGGCTGAGAATCCAAGAAAATAGAGATCAGGCAGGTTGTTTCCCAGTCTGATCTCTTACTTCCAAAGCTGGTTATTCTAAACAAGCAGGATGCCTAGGATCCTTGACGGTATCAACTGGGTTGGATGTTAGTCACCTGAATCCACATCTCTCTCTGCTTGCATGGGAATGGGCAACCTTAGGATGCAGAAAGCAAGAGCAGGGCCCCAGGTGGAAGGGGGGAGGCAGATGATCTGCACCTGGAAGATGGTGCAGAGACCAGGAAAGGTTGGTGGGATGTGGATGGTGTAGAGACCAGGAAAGGTTGGTGGGATGTGGATTTAAAGAGGAAGAAGATGAAGATGAAGAGGGGGTGGACTTGTCACCCTTAACTGACTCTGAGGAGCCCCTTCCCATTTTCTGTGCCCTTGATAAGCAATGGCTCCTGCTGCTGGACCCCTAAACTGGCACATGGGGTCTGCTTCTCTGGGAGTAAAGGACCTAGGGGAAGAGTGCCAACGGTCACCCAGCCTAGGCCCCTGCAACAATGCACAGCTGCTCAGCTGAGCTCCAGCCCAACAACATTGCCTTGACCCAGAAATGGTGCTGGTGATGGAAGCACCACAAGGAGCACATGCAGTAGATCCTCTGGAGGCAAGATAAGCTTCTGGGAGTCAGAACTGGCCCTCCCTAAAGCACATTAGCTGGCTGGGCTCAGTGCTTTAAGCTCAAATCCAGCCCCCGACTGGAAATGCTGGGGGCGGGGAGACTGCAAATTGGGCTCACTGGAGGACTGGGAGCAATAGAGAAGTAATGGGGATAACCCTTTGGACTCTTGGGATGGGAAGAACCTGGGAACACCCTGACCTCAGTTTCCTTACAACCAGTTCTAGTAGCAACGAAAGTCTGAAATTCATGGAGCCTATCGTCAAGCAGAACCTCCCAGCCAGCCCCACTCTGAGTGAGAGCAACAATAGTCACACATTGCTGGATCCCCTTCCCCACCCCAACACGTAACAGTGAACTAAGCTAAAGCGGTAGATAACAACGAAATTAATAATTTTTTACTGTCAATTCATTTCCAAGTCATGACAACCTTCACAGAATTGCTTTGCCAGTTTCACTTTTGGGTGGTGCTCTGGGACCATGGAACTTGCCCAAGCCATGTATTTCATCAGGCAAGTAATCCCATCACTCAGCAACGGACAGACACTCCAGTTGTTCTTGGCTGACCTCTCACTCAGGAGGCACTGGAGAGACTGAACTCCTGACCCAATGGCTCTGGAGCTAGGCACTTCCACTCTCTGGGCTACATCAACTACCAACAAAGGAATTATTTGACTATTTAATTACAGTAAACTATACTCTCCCTCTCACCTGTCTGGTTCCTGTGTCCAGATGCTGTGGGAGAGAATGTTTCCTCCCTCCTCGGGAGTATTTCATTGCTATTTCATAATTCACATCTCCGTTTTCTACTGTCAACTCATCATCTTCTCCTACAGATTCTAAACGGGTTGCTGCTCCTAAGGGATAACCCAGAAATGCTATTTATTATACATATATCAAAGCATCTTTTAACATCTATCACTTATGATAGAATCAGCGACATTACTTTGAACATTCTGTATGCTCAGTCATAAATGATTGATAAGTGCATTTCCTAAATCATATAAACCAAGCCTGATATAGCATGTGTATGGTCAAATTTGCTTTATATGAATTAAATGCACCCACTCTCCTTGAATGCTACATGTAAGTGTGTCTGCAGAGACATAAAGAGAGAGAGTTAGAGAGAATTATGAAATGCACAACATTCAAGAGTGGTCGCTATAATTTATCATGGAAATGATATACATGTGGCATACTTCTCAAAATACTTATTACAGCATAGCTTAATAGACACTGGTGAGTTTAAAGTGAGCAATAAATTACTTTCAATGAACACAATGTGCTATATGCGTCGTGCATAACTGATTTAGGACTGACATAAGCTACTTTTGAATCCTGTCCTCCCAAAAACTTTATCCTTATTTATTTAAAAGATTTTTACCCCATTTTTCTCCTTAAAAAAAGACTCAAGGTGGCATACATCATTAAAAACACAATAGTGCAAGCTAAAAATATTAAATTATTCAAATGTTTTAGATTAGATTAGGCATCCTTCAGTCTCGAGAGACTATGGTAACGTGCTCTGTATGGAGGACTTGGAACAGCATCTAGTGTGGCTGAGGAGGCCAATTCAAGAGTGACCATCCCTTCCACATTGAAGACAAATACAATCTGTCCCCTGTCCAGCTCCCTGATTTTAAATATTTTAAAACAATTATATAAACATTATATTTAAAATGTTAGGTAAAAAGCATTATCAAAACAGATTTAAAAGCAACAAAAATGCAAGCCACCCTGCCTTAAAAACTCTCTTAGCCAGTCACTAAGGAAAAGCCTGCCTGAAGAGAAAGGTCTTTGCCTGCTTGGGGAAAGACAGCAAAGATGGGGCCAGACTGGCCTCCTGTGGGAGGGAGTTCTAGAGTCTAGGAGTAGTGATAAAGATGGCGCTCTCTTGTGTCCCCACCAAATGCACCTGTGGTGAGACCATGAGATCTTAACACCCAGGCAGGATCAGAAAGGGAGATGCCAGTCTTTGAGATAGCTTGGAGCCAAGCTGTTTAGGTCTTTATAGATTAAAACTAGACTTTTGAATTGTGTCAAGAAACAGATCGGTTGCCAATTGGGCTGCTATAATGGGGAGGGGAGATGTGATCCTTGTAATCAGCTCCAGTTAACTATCTAGCTGCAGTGTTTTGGACCCCCTGAGGTTTCTGCACATTTTGAAAGACAGCCCCTTGCAGAGCGCCTTATAGTAATCCAGCCAGGATGTAAGTAAGGCATATGTCACTGTGGGCAGACCAGATCCTTGGACCTTGCTAGTCCCTAAGAGCTTAAGATCTGGATACATTAAAGATGACAGATTTCCATACATTTCATTTCATGCAATTCAGTACATATCAGAGGTCCTCCTCTAGACTGTCCTAGAAGTAGAGATAGGACACTAATCCATCTAGGGCTGCAATTGCCTAGACTAGCTACTTGGCTACTCCAAGACTAGCGTAGCCGTGATTCTTCAATTTTCTCCAGCCCACTGCAGAATCCAAGAGAGCTAGATTGGCCCCAGGTTCTCGCCTCTCATGCAGACAGTGTTGAGTTAGATCGTTTGGTATGAGTTAACTCAATGGTTTGAGTTACCAGCATAAGGCAGTATAAGGCACCAATCTATATTCCCTTCTAACTGTGCTATTGGCACAATGAAATACCCTCCCAGGAGACTCAGACTGCCTTTCCTGTAAGTTAAAGAAAACTGATTAAGATATGGCAATTTAAGGATGATTTTACAAGCAGCTGACAGGTAGCTGTGCTTTTCCCAGGAATTATACTGAAGGAGTACAAGCTCCATTTTTTTTTATGCTACTACTGCAATTATTTTGTACTTTGCTTTTATTGATATTCTGTTCCTTATGATTATTATCAGAATATTATCTGATCATTATCATTTTATTTTAGCTTATTTCAATATTTTTAAAGAGAAGCAGCACAATATAAAAATAAATAAATACAGGCTCCAAAATCACTAAATGTTTAAAATAACCAAAAGAAATGGAAGCATAACTGAGCTAGCTGCACAGCACTAATAAGCAAGAATTTAACTGCAGGGCATAGAAAATTCATTTTATCTGTTCAAAGCTAGACAGTGTTTAATTTCACCCAAAACATGCAGCATAGTCTAATTAAATAAACTCTTCAATTTATTTTTAGGGACTGAGTACAATTCATAAATTCACAACTAGAACCTTGGTAGGAACTGATAATTTCTTCCAAGATCATGGCTGTACAAGAACAGATCAGAAGTCCTACCCCAGAATAGTACACTCATTAAGGTCAACAAAAAAGACCTAACTATAAACTGCCATTAATAATTCCAACCTGAGATCATGCAGACTGTCAAATATTAGTAGAGAAAAAAGGAAGCAATAAATAAGTCTAATCAGAACAGAAGCAACTATAGATGAGCTTTCCGGCAGACTTCTTCCAACTTCTTCTAAAAACTTATTGAGAAATCAGATGCAAACAAGGTTGGTTTGGTTTCATCAACTTAATGAATCATCTACAAGAGGTTCAACAAAGCAAGAATAACTGCAAATATTAGTGGTGGTGGAACTGTTGTCCAAAGCAGTAACTTTTCAGCTAGTCACCGTAGTGCAAAGCGTCAATTCATAGGCCTCACTCCCACTTTTAAGAGATATTCTTGGGCCCCTCTGCCACTCACCCCTGTGAGAGTGGGATATTTTAAGAATGTCATCATCATGTGCTGTTAAGTCAATTCTGATGTATGACAACCCTTTTCAGGGTTTTCTAGGTAAAGACTATCCAGAAGTGGTTTGCCATTCTATTCTTCTGGGACGCCTTGGGACTGTGTAGCTTGTGCAAGTCCACATAGGCTGGCTCTACTCTCAGGAGTCACGTTGTGGGATCTAACACCCAAAGTCTGTCTCCACAGCCAGATATATAAACTAATGAGCTATCCAGCCAGCTTTGAGAATGTAAAGCAGCAAATATTTTTACAATGGTGGATCTTCCCGTTAAACAGAAAGAAGCAATGTTCTTCTTCCCTCTGACTTCATAAAAAAAAGGCTTCAACTACATCTTGTTCCTTGAGCAGAATGCTTTGGGGAACAACACTGTGCTGCTGTGAACAAATGGAAGCAGTCAGCTTCTACCTTGGGGAAACCTCCAGTGTCATATGCTTGCATTCTTCCCAAGGCAAGCCACCTAAGAACAAAGCAGAGCATCCTAGATGTTGCTGGAAGTGGTGGCAGATTGAGAGTTGTTTTTTGTTTGTTTGAAAACAAAATAAGGGGGAAACGGCCACTTTCAATTAAAAGAAAAAATCCCCATCCCAACCCTGAAAATGCTTTGAACTTTAAAATGTTGATTTTATTTATTCATGGCTGAAATAAAGTAGTAAGTTGCAACTAAAGCCAATGGAACTTATATAGGTGTTTGCTCACAAAATCTATACTGATTCAACAGGCCTACTCTAGTTGTAGATACCCAGTGTGGTGTAGTGATGGAGGAGAACTCTGGAGACCAGGGTTTGAATCCCAGCTCAGCCATGGAAAATTACTGGGCAGTGGAACTGGTAAGGCCACTCCTCAAATTCCTCACATACCTTGAAAACACTGTCAGGGTTGCTACAAGTCAGTTCCGACCTTATGGTACATAACTAATTACATCTAGCTGGATTTCAGTCTATATTTTACAGGTTTATTCTTCTTTTCAAAGCTGCTAACAAAAATCATAAAGTAAAAAAATCAAACTGTAAAACCAATAACTATTGGAATAATCAATAATCATCAAAACTGTATTGACAAAGTTAAAAAAATGTCTTCACAATCTTCTCTTAAGCAACAAGAGCTGATATTAATTTTGCAGGGAATACAGTATACTCCATAAGCTGAAAGCTACAGAGAATGTCCTAACTTGTGTGTTTTACAAGCAATCCCCTATAGCTGCTTATATCAAGAGTCTTTTATTCAGCCTACCTGTACCTTGGGATCGACTCCTGTATTTCAAAATACCGCCACCTAGAGTGGGACTTTGACAGTTTTCTTTGGATCCCTCTGCAGTAGTAGAATCTGGAGACTTATCTGGCTCTCTATCATCCATCACCTGAAGAAGAAAGAAAAGGGAAACATTTAACAACCCAGCCAAATTGTGGAGACTGTCTTCAATGCCACAGCCGGATTAACCATTATCCTAAGGAAACTGCAAACCAGAACCTCAGGCAATGTGGGATTCTTGCCATGGTACAATTATGCAAAAGTCTCGACCTGTGGAAAGTATCCTGCCTGCCTTTCTCTTTGCATTGTAATTTGGAATATAGAAACACACTACGAAATGACAAAAGCAGCTGTGTTCCCAGAAGAGAACATTATAAATACTGGGAGCTTCATCAGCCAGAGGAATGGTACATTTTTCCTCTCCTCAGATGTTAGGGTCATGTTAAGGTGAGGTAATAAGCAATAATGAAAATTGTTAGTATGTGAACTTTTGGTTGTATTTAACAGATCAGCCTCTGCATGCGGTGAAGGAGGCAAAATGGTGACCATTTCATCCCAGTGCTTAACTTCACCTCATGGAAGTATTTATAAATCACATTATGGTTATACCTCCTGAGATTTCCTCTGCCTTTAGTTCATTCACAGGCTCTTTATAAGTTGCATAGCTATTACATTAGAGGTGGCTAATCTATGGTCCTCCACATGTCTGTGAACTCCAACTTCCATCTGACTCCTCAGCCCAGACAGGCGCGTGGGGGCTATCACTGCACAAGGTCTGGACAGGCACAGGCTGCCCCTTCTACCTTATGCATCTGACCCATCATTTTATATATCCCACATCATTAACTGCCTGTAAATATTCATAGTGAGAAGTAGGCTGTGGAGCCTGGAGAGGAGATGAACCTGGGAGTAAGTCTGAAAGCCCTGGATGTTGTAACATTTTCTCTCAAAAGAATTGCTGCCCGTTTCTCCAGCATTGCAACGGGGTATCATATATTCCCATGGTGCTCCAACAGACACAGTTCTTCTTCTCTCTAAGACCAGAGGCACCGCTCAACCGTGGACATCTCAATACAGTCTCCTTTTGGCTCCGTGCGATGGGCTGATGTAATTGGCCTGGGCCCGAAAAATCCGAGGGGATTGGGAGCCCCTTGGATGCTTCAGTCCACCACTGCACCCTGCCTCCTCCTCCTCCCTTCGGTCTTCTCCCCCCAGGATTCTGAAACCTTCTTCTAAGTTCTCCTCAGCTGATCCCCTCTTGTCTTGCCCTAGCCCCACAAGCACCTGTTTTCTGGATATTGCCTCTGTGAAAGATACTGGGTTGGATCAGAATTAATAATGAAATCCTGTGTTTGTCTACTCGGAGGTAACTCCCAATGAGTGTAATGGTACTCCCAGATAAAAGTAGAGGATTATATCCCGATTAGTCTTGTTTTGGGCTGGGCTTAAAAGTGCTTTCATGTTCCTACTAAAGTCTCTGTGCAGTCTTAACATAATGATTGCTGGTTTTGTCCAGTACTTCAGTATTTTGAAATAGAATTTAATGTCCAACTTGTTTTAGGGCATGTTCAGCTACTGCTGATTTTTCCAGTTGTTCTAGTCTGCAGTGTCTATCATGTTCTTTGATTCTGGTGTGAATGCTGAAGTACTGGACAACACCAGCAATGGCCAAAGAACCCAAACAACCCTCATTTAGCGAAAAATCGGTTCCCGAAGCAGGGAACCGATCGTCGTCAAGTGGATTTTCCCCATTTAAACATCATTTTGCGATTGCAAAAGCGATTGCAAAAAACTCATCATTAAGCAGATTCGTCGTGGAGCGGGGTAATCGTTAAGTGGGGCACCACTGTATATTTCTATTAAAAATCCAGAAATGACATGGTGAAGCAGTGGAGCAACTTCTCCTTGAAGCTACATTACAACATTTAGGGTTTTCAGCATCACCATAGGTTCAGTTCTTGGCATCTTCAGGAAGGGCTGGGAAATAATCTTTCCCCAAACCCATGAAAGCCCTGGGCAGACAATGCCAATAATACTGGCCTTGACAGCCCATTGGTGTCATGATACCATGCACACATCATTCAGCCAGGATGGGTTAGAGTCTCTTGAACCTAACATGAGTGCGGGATTTCTGTTTCCAAGTGACCCTGAATCACCCAGGAGACCATTTCCCCAGAGGGCACTGGACTTTTAAGGTTTTTGGAGAAGCCATCCTAGTCAGGACAGAAGCCCCACAGACAAGACTAGGATCTCCAGGGACTCTCCTGAAAACAGTCTCTGCCTTTCTGCCACACACAGTGTTGCATGGCAATTCAAGAAGGATTACTGTGTATTCATTCAAAACTATGCACCATACTGTGTTAACTAAGGCACAGCATCAAAAATGCCCTTCACCACTACCCAAGTCAAGCTACAGAGTACTAAAAGCTAGCCATGTTATTTGAGTGCATGAGGCAGAAAATTCAACCAAGTACCTCTCTCCTTTCCTTGCAGTAAATACACATTAACAACAAATTAAATGACTAACAATATTTGCCTTTCACTATTTCCAAAATACGTAATTGTACAACACAGTATGTGTTTATATATGGTATATATGTATGTGTATATTGTATGTGTTGTTATGGGAAGGACTAGAATGGGAAAGTTGCATAATGAAGCATTTTGACCAATCAGAATGTGTTTGGCATCACCCAGAGATATTTATAAAACAAGTGCCAGTTAGCAGTCTCTTAGACAGGACTGGCAGGGCCATAACATGAGATAGGGCCAAGCAGGGCAAATAGGTAGGAGGATGCAATCTGTCAGATAGGGTTGAGCATATGTTAATGTTTCATGTGACAAGTAATTATAATACTTCCCCAATTGTCATGATTTAACAGGTGGTTTTTTCTTAAACAGATTCTGGTCAGTGTTGACATTTTGGCTCAGATTCTGATCGATCCTTCCCCAATTGTCATGATTTAACAGGTGGCTTTTCTTAAACAGATTCTGGTCAATGTTGACATTTTTGGCTCAGATTATGATCGATCTTAACAGGGACGTGGTGGCACTGCGGGCTAAACCACAGAAGCCTGTGCTGCAGGGTCAGAAGACCAAGCAGTCGTAAGATCGAATCCATGCGACAGAGTGAGCGCCCGTCGCTTGTCCCAGCTCCCGCCAACCTAGCGGTTCGAAAGCATGCAAATGCGAGTAGATAAATAGGGACCATCTCGGTGGGAAGGTAACAGCGTTCCGTGTCTAAGTCGCACTGGCCATGTGACCACGGAAGATTGGACAAACGCTGGCTCTATGGCTTGGAAATGGGGATGAGCACCACCACCTAGAGTCGAACACGACTGGACAAAAATTGTCAAGGGGAACCTTTAACCTTTACCTTTACCTTATGATCTATCTTATAATTGGAATTGTAATCACACACAAAAAAACTTTTCCTTATATGAATTTCCATGCCTTCTTTTATATTGTAATAGTCTAAGGTAAAGGTAAAGGTTCTCCTTGATATGTAGTCCAGTTGTGTTCAACTCTAGGCTCATCCCCGTTTCCAAGCCGTAGAGCCGGTGTTTGTCCTTAGACAGTTTCCATGGTCACGTGGCCAGCGCGAGCAGACACGGAATGCCATTACCTTCCTATCGTGGTGGTACCTATTTATCTACTCGTATTTTTACATGCTTTTGAACTGCTAGGTTGCCAGGAGCTGGGACAAGCGACACAAGCTCACTCCATCATGTGGATTCTATCTTACGACTGCTGATCTTCCAACCGTGCCGCACAGAGGCTTCTGTAGTTTAACCTGCAGTGCCACCACATCCCTGTAACAGTCTACCTTTCAATAAATCTTGGACTTTGCTTACTTCTCTTTTTTTGTTTGGATAGTGTCTGTTTAATTCTTGTTTTATATTGCTCGGATTTTAAGCCTCCCAGAGTAGATTTGTTTGATAAAAGACAAACAAACAAACAAACAAATAAATAAATAAATAAATAAATATGTAATAGTACTAGGTTGTGAGAGTTAGTAATCTATGAAAGTAACTATGTATGGCAAGTTTTAAGAATATTAACACAAACATACAAGTTTAGGTAACAAATAAAATGTCAGCACTGTGGATTTATTCTATTTTACATGTTACAATCACTTAGACTTTATTAAAAACATTAAATAATTTTACCCTTTAAAAGTTATTTAATGTTTTTAATAAAGACTAAGTGATTGTGTTATTTACTTTCAACTGCTGGTACACACACAGTGGAGAATACAAAGTTAGCTCTGTGAGTGGTTCTTTTGTCATAATACTTGAAATTGCGGTGCACAAACTCTGTCAAGTACATTTTATATATTATTTATTATAGCTCAGGTTAACAAGAAAGTCCCATCAAGTGCCTCCCTCTTTTCCTTACAGTAAATATACATTAACAACAAATTAAATAAGTAACACTCTTTTGCCCTTTCACAATATCCAAAACATACTGCCAACGGCTACTGCACTCTGGCTAGTGATAGGCCCAGCTCTTGTACCTGGAATATTTACCCTACGTGAGTGTAGGAGCCCCTTGCAATGCAGGAGTCAAGAAGTACCTAACAACTCTAGGGGATAATTTTTTTAACTCCTGATTTATTTATGTTACATTTCCACCCATTCAGATCAGAAAGCACTTCCGGTGCCTGAATCTTTATCTTGCTTCCTGATCTTTTCCTTACAGGCTTGCACATAAAAGGTTCCCAGCACTTTCCTTTCCAAACAAAGAATATTTTTGCCGCTGAACTAGTCAGGGAATGGAAATACTGCATCCTACTGCACGACCCACCCATCCCCAATACTGGTATGTACCTCTGTCAACTAAGTACGGAAGTTTCTTGAAACCCTCCTAGCTGGTTGAAGACTAGTCCTTCTACTTTGTAAAACATGCATCAAATGCAGAAACACATAAACTCTCCATTGCCCTATGGGTCATATTTCTGTCAATGACTGGAAAAACACTTGCAAAAACGTGACCTTTTTTCCTTGGAAGCTGGCAAAAGACTTCGCAAGAATATGCTTTTGCTGCTACTCCTGATATTCTCCTCCTTCCCTAAAGCGTAGAAAGCTTCCGCATGGCAGTTGAAGAAGA